GAGGCAGGAGAATTGCTTGAACCCAGGAGGCGGAAGTTGCGGTGAGCCGAGATCGCGCCATTGCACTCCAGCCTGGGTAACAAGAGCGAAACTCCGTCTCCCAAAAAAAAAAAAAAAAAAAAAAAAAAAACTACCCACCCCAAAAAAAAAAAAAAAAAAAAAAAGAATGTTGAACATTGCCCTTTAATCTCTTCTGGCTTGTAGGGTTTCCACTGAGGCCTACTGTTAGTCTGATGAGCTTTCTTTTGTAGGTGACCTCATCTTTTTTTCTGGCTGCCCTTAACATTTTTTCTTTCATTTCAAACTTGGAAAATCTGATGATTGTATGTCCTAGGGTTGATCTTCTCATGTAGTATCTTACTAGAGTTCTCTGAATTTCCTGAATTTGAATGTTGGCCTGTCTTTTCAGGTTGGGAAAGTTCCCCTGGATGATATACTGATGTATGTCTTCCAACTTGGTTTTGTTGTCCTCATCTCTTTCAGGTACCCCAATCAATCATAGGTTTGGTATTTTTAAATAATCCCATAGTTCTTGGAGGTTTCGTTCATTCATTTTCATTCTTTGTTCTCTAATCTTGTCTGCCCAACTTATTTCAACAGGACAGTCTTCAAGCTTTGAGATTCTCTCCTCTACTTGGTCTATTTGGCTATTGATACTTGTGGTTGCATTATGACGTTCTTGTGCTGTGTTCTTAAGTTCTATCAGGTTATTTAGGTTCTTCTCTAAACTGGTTATTCTGACTAAAAATTCCTGTAATGTTTTACCATTGTTCTTCTTTGCATTGGGTTAGAACATACTCCTTTAGCTCAGCAACGGTCCTTATTACCCACTTTCTGATGCCTACTTCTGTTAATTCATCCATGTCAGACTCAGCCCAGTTCTGTGCCCTTGCTGGAGAGGTGTTGTGATCATTGGGAGGAGAAGAGGCACTCTGGCTTTTTGAATTTTCCATGTTTTTGTGTTGCATCTTCATGGGTTTATCTACGTTTGATCTTTGAAGCTGCTGACTTTTGTATGGGTTTTTGGGGGATCTTTTTGTTGATGTTGTAGTTTTCTGTTTTTTTTTTTTCTTTTAACAGTCAGGCCCCTCTTCCACAGAGCTGATAGAGTTTGCTGGAGGTCCCCTCCAGATCGTTTGCCTGGGTCCCTCCAGCACCTGGAGGTATCATCAGTGGAGGTTGCAGAACAGCAAAGATGGTTGCCTGCTCTTTTTTCTGGGAGCCCTGTCCCAGAGGAGCAGCAACCTGATGCCAGCCAGAACACTCCTGTATGAGATGTCTGAACACCCCTGTTGAGAGGTCTCACCCAGTCAGTAAACACAGGATCAGGACCTGCTTGAAAAAGCGGTCTGGCTACCCCTTGATGGAGTAGGTGCTCTGCACGGGGAAGAATTCCACTCATCTAGACTGCCCAGTCTCCTCAGAGCCACTAGGTGGGAAAGACTAAGTCTGCTGAAACGGACATTGCAGCTGCCCCTTCTATAAGAGCTCCATCCCAGGAGATCAGAGTTCTGTTCATAAGCCCCTGGCTGGAGTTGCTGCAATGTCTGCAGGGAGGCCGTGGCTTATGAGGAGGGATGGATGGATCTGCCACGCTCCCCAAAGAAGCAGTCTGGCTACAATCTGCCACAGCCACTGTGCTATGCTATGAGGAATTCCTCCTGGTCCAAACCGTCTAGTCTCCCTGGCAGTAGCAGGAGAAAATGGCACACATGAGCTGCAGTGATTGTGGCTGCCCTTCCCCTGGGAGCCTATTGCATTGTTTTACAAAAATAAAACTGTAAAAAAATGTTTTCCTTAAAATCACAGTTTAACAGTAGTTGAAAACCAGAAATCTTTGGTCTGGACTAAATC